CCAGCATAATCTCCTTGACCTTATGCTGCGTTTTAACGAACTTGGAACTGGGAGTGGGCGTGGGCGTGGGTGGAGGAATCGTTTGCATATTCATTGGTCAGCAGCCCGCGCTCTCAGCATCCCGGATTCAAGCTAGTCCGCGGGGGGCTGGAGGCGTAACAGTGTTCATCCACTTGCTTTGAGCGTAAATATTTTAAGTACTTTAAACAATTCATTAATTTACATATAGCTTTGGCCATGTTGTAGAAACGTTGTCCATAATTCTGGGAGCTGCTTGAAGAGTCCTCGGAAGTGGCAGATAAACGTTTAATGGAAAGCAACTTTACTGCGAAGATATTTGGTTCAGAAAACACTTTTAAAATGTTAAATTAAGAGTAAAATTCTTTCTTAAACTTAATCGATTTATTAAGTTAAACATACACACTTTCTTGTTCGTAATGATAGCCCAAATGCATGATGCATTGCTGCACATTCCAGGCGAAAATGCCATCAATTTCAGTCCGGAAACTTATTTGGAAAGCGTTTATTTTGTTGACAGGCCCGTTTGGGAGAGAGTGCGTAGCACTTTGCTCTGTTTGGAGGTGTTCCACAAATCGATTGGATCTCCAAGCAGAAGATATCACCGCTCCGATTGGAATTGGAAAACTCTCTTAAACATTGCCCGGTAATTGCCAAATGCAACAATGCGGCTTTTCCACTACCCCCCCATCATCATCAGCTATTTGCGCTGTGCTATTTTTCCCATTTTAAGCCATCAGTTGTGCTTATGTTTCCCCCCCTCTAGATCCCCTGTCGCTTCTGCTAATTGCAACAACAATTGCAACGGACTAAACTGAATCCGAGAGCAGCCATAGAAATGGGGAAAAAGCCGGACAGCAGCATTTAGGCCACAAGTCGAACATATCGGGCGGGGAGGGGCTCGGATCTGAGGGGATAACAAGATGGGCGCATTTTACAAATTATAATCGTCATTTGTCATGGAGGCACTGCACTCGGCAAGGACTCGCCACTCGGACTCAGGCCTTCACCCAGTTTTAGACACAAGTCGATGGGGGTGGCAGAGTGTCCCTTTCTGATTTTTATTGACATATTGAAATGACAGGGGAGCAGGGCAGGCAGAGCAGGGCAGACGATGAAAAATTACTCAATAAAGTGAATTAGCAATGCACTTAGGAGATGAAATGGGAACAATTAGTACATTCAGCAGCTAGCAAAAATATTGCAAATTCCCATTATCAGTGACATCCGAATGTAATAAGATTGGGGATATGCCTGAAATTTATTTACTCATCTGCATATTTAAGGGAACAAATTTTAATATATGTACTATAAATGACGCTTTAAATTGAGGGATTTACCTCCATCATCATATTAAGTTTTGGAAAATACGAACTTTCAATAACTTTGTCAGCGATCCAATCCAATTTTTGAAAAATAATAAAATTCCGTACTAAGGGCTTGCTTCCTGTTACGCCCTTCGCCTGCAACGGACTCCAAAGAGCTCCAGGCCCGCTCGACACTTCCGACTCGTATCGAGCAGTATTTCCCCGAAGGCGTAGCGCATGGTCATGGTCAGATCCTCTATGTTCCCAATGTCGCAGTTGGCCATAAGCGGCCCGTTGGCTAATAGCGATTGGCACTCTGTTCCGGGCACCAAACGCTCATCGAATCTGGCCAGAGAAATGCAAAAACGCAGCTGCTGGCGTTCCATCAGCCAGCGGATCACCAGCTGCCAGTTGGCCCGACTCCAGTCCAAGTCGTCCTCCAACAGGGGAAAATAAACATCATTCTCCGTCAAATGCTGGTTATCAGCAAAGGGAACCAGTTCCAGGCAGGAGAGGTGGATAAAACAACTCAACAGAAGGAGCAGCTGTTTCATTTTTATGAATATAACGTGGAGTTCCCCCAGATATTTCGCGTCTGCCCTCTGGCTAATTTGATTTTGAACTGAAACGCGTTCAAACGTTCAAACATTTCTACGTGATATGTGGCCAGTGACAGTTTCAAGCTTTTCTGATTGCTACTAGTAAGACGTAGAATAAAATGTTTGAAACGTGCCACAGGAACTTATCTTATTATTAGCTTTGTCAAATTACGAGCTTAATTTAATTTTAGATTTTCCTGCAACTTTCACTATTTGCGTGGCAAACTTTGAAATTTTTTTGTTATTGCATTTTTATTATAAACTTTGAGTCAGCTTGCTACGTGACTTCCGCTTGCATTCGAATGCAGCACGTGGCAGACTTTATTTTGTATGCGATTACTTTTTTTATTTTTATTCAGAATTAGACCAGAAATGACGTCAGTGCTTGCTGACAAATAGTTAAGCCAATTAAGCCAGTTGACGCATACAAATCTAGGCATTACTCTCAGCATAAAAATACAAAATAATACGAAAGTGAATTTGTTAGCAATAAAATTATAGTCCGAAAAACATTGTAATTGATATTTCATTGACACAATGTAATTAAAATAAATATCTGAAAGTGCTCTGAATTTGATCTTTCGCCCCTTTTGATGGAACATTTGAAAACCGGGTAATTGTTAATAATTGAGCAGCAACAAGGCAAGCAAACAAACAATATTTGCATACCAAACTGAAAACACGCTGTAAAACATTTACATAGATTGACAAAATTCGGCCATAAATCCTGGCCAAAAAAAATGTCAAACTAATAAAAGTCATGGGGACGTGCAGAGGTTGATTGGTGCCGTTGAAGTTGCGATAGTGGAGCTACATATGTATCTGGGGTTTTCCCCGATTAATTGGCAGAGGAGCCAAGGGGACACAGCGGACAGCTGTCGCCGCCACACACGACGCAGGACAAAAATAAAAACATAAAAAAAAGTAGCAAACGTGCTGAGCCAGGCGGCAGACAAATATTGAAATTATAATTTTTTAATCATAAAACATACACAGAAACTGCTGCAAATATTGCTAGTACGTTTCTGGGCGTGGCACCAGCAAACGCCCACTCCTACCACTGCCCGAAAAATGGCGCAAGGGCCATTTGGCTATTTTTTGTTGTCTGGGTCCGGAAACAAATTACAGCAAACAATTTAAAAAATGTTTGCAAACAAACAGGAACCAGAAAAAAGGCAAAAAAGGGAGCAACAAAAAGGGAATGACGGAAATGTTATCTAGGCAACAAGACAACGGGCACAAAAGCGGATGTACAGTGCAAGGACTCTTGGCCAAATAATTGTGTGGCCGATGGGAAAAATGAAATTATATGCCAAGTGATTTCTTTTTATCATAACCGAAAAGCAGGGCAAGAAACTGCCAAGTTAGAGGTTGAGCGAATGTAGCCAGAGACCACTGTAGTGGCGGCAAAGGCTTGACCAAACAACAGTCGGCCAAGATAAAAGCCCTCATTGTTCGCCCAGAGTTCCTTTTCTCTGCTTTTAACCTTTTCGTTTCACTTAGTTAAGCAAAAACCAAATTTTTATTAGCAAAATGCATAAATGAATAGAAAATAGTTAAACAAACCCGAATGCAGAGCATGCCCTAAACTTCTGCCAGGTGTTGCACCTGCGGTCCGGGCGCTAGTTTTGGTTTTTGCTGAAGTCAACCAGAAGCTCCCTTGTCCAATAACTTTTGTGGCCAAATGGTGTTCCTCAGGTTTCTCACAATTTCATTATTCTTGCTCTGAGCCATATGTGGAATTATAAAGTGATTACTTTAACAGGATTTCAGATGGCTTTTATGGCCAAAACTAAAGTGGCTTTGATAAAACGAACTAAGAATTTGCCAATCGAAGGCTGTAAAACGAAACTTTATTCTGTCGAAAGAAACTCAAACCAATATTTAAGAGCTTTCCAATGATTTGGGCATTACAAAGTTTTATAACAAATGCAGTGCCAACCCCACACCCACATCCACATCCACACACTGGGCGTAAACTTTTTGCGACATATCAATTAACAAATAATATACAAGCTGCCAAACAGAAAAGCCCAAAAGGCAAAACTATCTAAAAACTTGCACATGAGAAACTTGTTTCGCCAAAGCAAATCAGAAAGTCATCATCAGTAGGAAAGGCAGAGGGAAGCCCCATTTGCATTTCGGGCCGTTGAAGAAGTACTTCTACCGGAAAACTGAGAACTGTGAAGTGAAAACTGAGAACGTAGAACGTAGAACGGAGAACTAAGGATAGACCATTCTGCCTCTGCGCACTTTAAAAGTAATTTATCTTTTTTGCGCCCCGTCCACTGGTATATGCTACATGCAATTTGCATAAAACTTACTTGCCTTGGACCCTTTCGGCATTAAATCCACTTTGTCGCCATCTACTCGCACTCGTACATCAAACTGAGTTGCTGTTGCAGTTGCTGTTGCTGTTGCTTTTCTCTTGTTGTTAATTGCAGCCCTGCTGGCGAATAAGTTTTCAATAAAGCGGCTCGAGCATGGACCCATGCCGGGCTCAACAAATTCTTTTGTTTCATCACTTTCCTAATGTGTGTGTGTGTGTGTGTGGGTGAGTGTGTGCCTGTGTGTATTTGGATGTGCGGAAAATGTGTCAACGGCAGCTGCAAGTGGCTGGATGCATCAAAGCCAAGTTATCGTGTTCGGTAAATGTGTTAAGCGCCGGCAGGATAACAGGATGGTGGAAAACAATACAAAAGTTTTCCATGAACATAAACGGCATACAAAATTAAAATATTTTAAAGTTTAGGAAATTGACAGTACTTAAGATAAATCACTTTAATATTAGCATTATATGATTAGTCATTCCTATACATTTAGGACTCGTCCTTTACATTATTAACTCCTAAAACTTTGGTAGGAAAATAAGTATACTTTATAAAAGACTAAAACTATTTAGAAATGGTTACCTAATTATATACTTTTTTTATGTATTTTATAAGTTTGATTGATTGCTTAGTTAGGACATAATTAATTAATATTTTTCTCTGTAGGTATATTAAAGTTATAAGTAATTACACCTTGCTACCAGTTAATCAATAAAAATTGGTTTTTTCTATGCTTTTTTTTCAATTTAATATTTTAAAGCAAAAACAATTTACATGAATTTTCGGTAATTCAAATAAAAGCCAAATGCTTACACAGCAAATGGGTAGATTTTTAAGTGGCCACATATTTAATTTTTGGGCATTTTCACAGCACACTCACTCTGCCGACCGGAAGCAAAGAAAAACAGCTCATGCATAAGTATTTGATTTTATATTTATAACATTTGGTCGAGGTGATGGTGCAAATAATTAAACACAAATAGAACGCGATAACAAACACAATTACAAAACACAAATTCCTGCAAAAAGTGAAATAATAAAGCGCCTAAAAGGCGGCAATGCAGGCGGCAATTGTGGGGAAATGAGGCAGTCGAGCGAGTGTGCGATTTTCCCCGTTAATTATTTAAGGCCGTGAAAAGCAACCAGCCAACAACAACCACCTACCCCAGCTGTCGGCATATTTGTTCGCGTCCGTTGAACGTATTTTCAATTAACAGAAAAACACTCGGATGGCACGGTACCGCCCCCCTCCCAACTGCGCCGGCACAACTTTGATTTGTTTAATTAAATTACACTCAGACAAAGGCTTTCAATCATTCACAGCTCTCCAATCACTCATTGGCTCAATCACGCGCTCAACTTCAACGGAAGTCAATATGCAGCTGCGTGAACGAGTGTGTGCCAGTGTTTGTGATTTAGAAACAACACAACCTACAGCCCACCCCCTGTGTTACCGCCCAACCGTAGTGATGAGTAATGTGGGTCCCACTTTCTTGATACCTAGGAGTACAAAAGTTACTAAGAGTTCTTCGTTTTCTAATTTTAAATTAATAACAAATTGAATACCAGCTAGAAAACTGAAAAGTGCATAAATAATTGTCAAATTAATGACATTTCCTAGTTCCTAGTACCATTGATCCCACTGACTAAGCATAGCCCAGCTAGCTTTGGGTAGTACCGATGCCATCACTACCACCCAGCCACTACAACCACTTCAGGATATTTGTAGTGTGCTCAAGAACAACTTATCCAAATGCAGTGCAAGCCGTCCGCTCAAGTTTGTGTGTTCGCTGTTCGCACGGCTCAAGAGAGCTGCCATGGAAGTTGGATTGAATCGTTAATTAATGCATGATAAACTGGAGAGCCAGGTAAGCACATGGAATGCAAGCCCAATGTGTGTTGTGTTCTACCGAATAAAAGAAAAGGCAAAATAAAACAAGACAAGGGAATTCAGAAACAAAGAGTATGCAAATTTATACACGCCTTCATTTAGGCATTTTCCTAGCGCTTTTGCTTTCCCATTTCCTTGGATTTTCTTAACACATGCAGACTTGCGTTAAGTTTAAGAATGATCGAAAAATGAACTGAATAAATAACTTTAAGCATATACAAATAAATAAAAGATAGGTGCTATTAGGGAAATTAAAATAACAGTACATTTTTGAATAAATATTTATTTTCTTAGCCACTTTTCATAGTTTTCTCTTTGAAAAACTTTTCAAGCTCATGACTGTTAGATTTAAAGCTAAGCTGCCATGAACAATTTTAAGAAAAACGAGACGCTCACAAGAGCTAAGAGGAAATGCATGGTGACCTTGTGGAAAATGTGAGAATAATAAATAGTTTTCCTCAGTCCGCATGCCACTTGCATATGCTCAGAAAATTGCTTTGGTGGGTGGTCATTGGGGAATAGTTTTTTTAATGCTCTGCACAATTTTTCAAATGTCAAAAAAAAAGTTGACGTTTGAGAAATACTTTGGAATATTAACCATTTGAAGGTAAGACAGTATACCTAATTAAAAAAATAAAAACTTTATTTTTGTTAAACTGATAAAAAGCTAACTCTTACAAAACCATTTTTGATTTAACTTTCGGTCAAACTCAACATTTCAGCAATTTAGACTCACGCTTGACAGCCATCTTTCATTTTTTCCTGATTCTGTTGAATAACCCACATTTTTCCCATACAAACTAACTGTTGACTAAACAACGACTAAAAAAACCAAAGGAAACAAAAACTATTCACAGCTTATCGGCAAACAATAGACCATTGAATAAATATCAAAAGCAAATAGCCATAAATATTTTTTCTTTACCCCATTTCTGCCCGGTTTTTCAAGCAATTTTTTTTTATACCATTTTCACCGCTTTTCCACATGGCGGGAAAATATTTTGAGGCATTTGGCAGCAACGAATGAAGAGCTGGAAAAAAGGGAATCATTTATGCCGCTTTAAAAGCCCACAATCCGCAGGCCAGAACACCAGAAAGCCAGAATGCCATGGTGCGTGGTCCATGGTTTCCATGGGTGGTCTGGGGATTTGCAGCCGGGGACAAAAATGGCTATACGATACATAACGCAATAATGGTAACGTGTAGACTTTTACGACATAGAAAACGCGAAAGGAGCGAAGCTTTACGATGCCCGCATCATTTGATTTTATTGCCAAGTGTTAAAAAAAAAAGACAGAAAACTGAAAACAGGAGCAGGAGCAGACAGATCCGTGGCACGCGAATGCGATGGGTTGAAGGGCCGTCCTTGAGCCAGTTGTTTCTGATTAATGCCATCCGACTTGAAGGATGCAGATGCAGCGGAGCACGGCACAAAATGCAAATCACCCGGCGGAATAATCAAATCGAGAACGAAACTGAGCAAAACGGGGCATCAAAGTTGACGACGAACGGAAGCTCCTCCACAAAGGCAACAAACAACACACAACTGCACAGCCCAAGGGCAAAGGACGAACAAGGTTCAGGTGTTCAGATGGCCAGGCTTTCCCACGCCACCTTCTCAACAGCCTCCTTTCGATTTAAGGGGGAACAAGGCCAGCAAAATCAATTAATTTAAAAAATATCCATGCATTTGTTGACATTTTTGCAGTTAGACAACCGACTACCAGCCCGTAGAAATCAACAAATATTTGCATAACCTGCTCGCCTGTGCCTTCTGCCTTGTTTTGCTGCTGTGACTATGACATTCCGCATTTATTGACATTTTCTATTTACCAGGCTCAGAGACTGTCTGCCATTTTGACAGTTTATTTCATAATTTGCTGAATTGTTGCATGTTAGTTGGCATGCGAGACATTGGCATGTGGAAAAGATTGTTCGAAATATATTGGAATCCCATCTGAAAAGTGCACTGACACGGACGAAAGATGCTTTCAGCATAAAGACGATAAGCGCTCTTGATTTGAGTTAACTAAGATGAATCCATGCTGCAGTGGAAATGAAATGAACCCCATGGGAGGTTTGAAATGCTCTTGATAGCCTAATAAATACTTTTATGGCAATGCTTTAATAAATAACAGTCTACATTCTTAAAAAAAAGCCAAATCAATGTTTCTTAACTGGTTTATAAATATATTAAATGGTTATGACTGCATTTTAATCACGCTTATGCTTAAATTTAAAAGCTGCGTCGGAAGTTATAAATTTAAGGTATAATTAAGAAACAAATATATGTACGCATCAGAATATAATGCTCAAACTAAACTCAGCAATCGCAGTCGCAGTGACTAGTTATTTTGGCGCTTTCTCAGCACACATCCACATATGAGCAATCCATAGATCCGTCATCATTATTAAATTATTAAAGACATCGTTTTCTTAGTATATTTTAATGATTTTAATGAATGTGATTCGTTTCGTTAATGTTATCATATAATCCGTACAATAAACATAATACATAATAGTTATCTCTCCTGCACTAAATACAAAGTTATACATGGTGTTGAATATAGAATATTTATATGGTATATATATTTTCGACTCGTTTACCGTTTTTCCATAAAAATATATTATTTGGATGCACAACATTTTGGCCAAAATAAGATGTAAAAAAAGAAAACGCAAAATGTGATAAAACACTTTTTAAATTAATTTGGCTTCTCTCAATATTTTTAAGGAACGTCGAAATTTTTGGTTTAATGACAATTGCTTTTTTCGGCCCTCACAAAATATACATAGTAGAGATTTGACAAGTTTCGTTCATCTTCAAAGTATCCGAAATTACCATACTTGCATCCTTTTGACAGACTGGAGGAAAAGTTCGTTTTTGACTAAACTTAAGCAAACCAAGTAAAGGGCTCCTTTGTATTCCAGCGGCTTTACCGCTGCTGCTGGTAGATAGGAATGTTGTTCTTGACAGCATCGTTCTGCATGTGATAGCCGGGTGCCCCAACTGGTGGACCTCCAGTCATTGACATGGCGGCCATCTGCTGGTGCAGCTGACTGAACTGATCGTGTGGTGGGTGCTGCTGTGGCGCCTGCTGTTGTTGTTGATGCTGCTGAGGTGGCATATAGCTTTGTGGGTTGACGGCTGGTGATCCGTTTGGTGCATACAGATTTGGTCCTGGCTGGTATCCCTGTGGAGGCGGCGGCTGCTGATGTTGCGGCGACATATAGGCGTGGGGAGCTGGAGGCTGCTGCGGCTGCTGGATTTGTGTGACTGCGGGCGGAACTTGGGCGTACTGCGACTGGGGGTCGATGTGGTAGCTGTTCTGGGGATGCTGTGGTGGTTGCTGGGAATGCTGTGGTGGCTGCTGAGGGTGTTGGGGAAGTGGCTGCTGTTGCTGGGTGGTCACTGGAGAGGGCTGAGTATAGATGGGCTGGGCCAAGGGTGCCGTGCTAGCTTGTTGAGTCAGATGGGTTGGCAGCGCTGAAATGATAATTAGAATAGGTTATTAGTAATTAATTATAAACGGTATAATACTATATTTATTCTCTATACTCACAATTCATCTGTGCGGCGTGACCATTGTGATAGGGTAAAGGCACCTGTCCCTGCGGTTGCCCTAAATAGCCACCAGGAACTCCAGGGGCCTGCGATGGAGCACCAGTGGGCGGATTTGGTACAGGGCCATAAGGCACCGAGTGCATGCCCGGATAGTTCTGGGCCGGAGGGAATCCACCAGCTGCAGGATAACCTGGAGCTCCATACAATGCGGCACCTGGAAAGCCAGCCAGTCCAGGCATATAACCACCAGCAGCAGCTGCGAATTGTCCTGCGGCAACCCGATCATCCCGCATCAGGGTATGGTACAAATTGATGGCGTCCACGAGGTCACTAGACAGCTGCGTAAGCTGGGCGTGCTTGCGGTCCACGCGTTCCAGTTCCGCATCGATCAGGGGACCCATCTGATGAACTTCCTGTTCAAGCTGCAACATCTCGTCGCTGTCCTGCGAGGGATCCTCGGGATTGGCTTCGTGCAGTAGATGCAGCAGGCGGTCGATCTTTGACTCGTCGATCTCCACAGGCTGAGCTGCGGCGGCAGCTGCTGCCGCTTCAGTCTTTTGCTGCAGTGCCGCAGCTGAGTCTAACTCTCGTTGCCCAGCGGCGGCAGCAGACTTATGCTGCTGATTAATGTCCAAACGTTCAGGATCAACGGACAAATCAGCAGTAACAAAGTTTGAAGGGAAAAGGCCTTCTCCCCGCTGATTGTAACCTTTCCACCAGTTGGGATCGCTGTCATCTAGCACATGAATAATCTCACCCGCGAAGAAGGTAAGCTCATTCTCCTCAGCCGCCTCGAAATCGTACAAGGCGCGGACCTTTCTCGGTTCCGGAGCAGGTGCGGTGTTCGCCTCGCTTGGTGCACTTGAGGATGCTCCACCGAAAGAGGGATACAACGAGGGATAGGCAGTGGTGGTGGTGGCATTTGATCCGCCACCAGTCTTGGGACTTCCCTTGTTCTCCTTCAGCGACAATTCGATGGCTTTGGCGATGTCGTCCTCCTCCTGCTGACTGCTAACGACATTCGGATCCTTGGGCAGAGCGGCGGCCTTTTCGGCAGCTGTCTTGCTGCCCTTATCACCCAGATTCTTGAAATCGTAGCCCTCTAGGCGCAGCTTGGTATAGAGCGCGGGTATCAAGTCCAGCTCCCGATCATTTTTGTAGTCGTTATCAGCCCAGTTCTTCAGCACTTGTCGCATTTTCTAGGGGTTGTAAAAGTGGTTTAAGAATGGCGATAAGTATGGATTTGATATACTTACCAATGAAACCTTTGGCTGAGCCTTTGCAAGTAGCCGGCGGAATTCGGTCTCAAAATCTCGTGAAGCCACCTCCAAATGAAGGGGTTTTCCGCAGTTATTGGATAGGGCATCCAGCAAGGTAATCGCTTGCATCACCACATGAGGATCGGTGTGGCCCATGCGCCGCATCACTGCTTTCAAGCAATCCTTAGCCTGACGAGGATTAGTAGAAACCTTGTCGCAGACATCCAAAATCAAAGACCAATCGTCGTTGGTGTTAGTCTCGCTGGTGGCTTTTTCTATTAAATTAGAAAGAAAAGAATCGAATTAGCTTATCAGTCGAATAGAAATCCTGACTCATAGGCCAAACAAAGATAAGGCAGTCCGAAAACTGATTGTAATAATAAAAGAAAATCAATACAACATGGGAACTTGCTAAATTGCATTAAAAGGGAGGGTGTCTGTAGGTGGAGGCAGGTGGAATGAGTGCTACGTCACTCAAGGTCAGCGACTGCTAACAGAAAACTCCAATAAGAAGTTCAACGAACGACGCAGATCTGCGCACAGCATCTCACATGACTTTCTTTGTTGTCTGGTTAATTGGTAATCGGGTTCATTGGAAAAGGGGTTATGTTAAAGGGTTAAAAGTCCAGATAAGAATTGAAAACTTTGAAATACATTGGTCAGTCGGACAGTCCAAATGGAAATGGGATTCCTCCAATCAGCCCACCAATCCCGGTTATCGATAGACTTACCCACGTCGGCGTCGAATGGCGACGACTGCCCAAAGATTCCCATCTTTATGACCAAAAGTTCGCTCTGCTATCTGCCAACAATCTGTGTTGCCCCGGGGTCAATAAAATCCAAACCAATCCAATCTTTGTCTGGTTTTTTGCCTATTGTTTTGTCTGAGCAATCGATTTTTGGTGCGTCACGGTGATTTAAAGGCGAGCTTTTTAGTTTCTATCCCCTGCAGAAGCCTTTTGAGCTTTTCTTCAAATGTCTTTTGGGCGGCTGAATCCTTTTTTATTCTGCTTGAAGCTCTCAAACAGCTTTTGTAATTCGCTTAATTTACGTTTATTGTGTAAAAAATGACTAATGACAAGTGTGACCAGATTATCAGTAAATATAAAATACCAATATCTTTGTTGTGTTAAGGATATTCGCGACTTGGAATTACATGTAACTCTTTGATCTTTGAAAAGGTAGAATCACCTTTATATGAAAAATTTAATTTTCATTTCAATTTAATTTTAAATTGTTGCCAAGAAACCCGAATATTTGAGTTTCAAAATATAATATAATAACTTTTACAAAATATATAAAATGACTTACACTTCCAGGAGCGTTCCAGTGAAAAGTCACAATATTACCCGTTTGTATTATGCGGTCACATTTATCTCAGCATTCGAAAAAAACGCGCAAATAGAAGGGACGCCAAAATAAAATACAATTTAAAATCAATATTTTATTAGATTTTATCGCATTTTATTCGATACTCCAGTGCCATGACGCTATCTCGCACAAAACACGCCAACCGCAATCACCTGCCGCACCTTCTGGCCAAGGTGCCTGAGGAGCAACAGGAGCCCATAAAGAATATGTGTCTCAAAGATGATGTCCCACGACGCCTACGGGAAGCCGTATGTATAGCTCATAAAATCACCTATTTCAGTTCTTAAATGGGTTTCCCTAGATACGAATGGAGTGCCCGCGACTTTGACATGGGCGCTCACTTGGGTCGCGGAAAGTTCGGACGTGTTTACCTGGCGAGGGAGCGCCATTCCCATTACCTGGTGGCTATGAAAGTCATGTTCAAGGAAGAACTGCGCAAGGGCTGCGTGCAGCGACAAGTTCTTCGCGAGATCGAGATCCAATCGCGTCTCAAGCACCCTCATATTCTTCGGCTACTCACCTGGTTCCACGACGAAAGCCGCATCTATCTGGCTTTGGAGATCGCATCGGAAGGCGAGTTGTTCAAGCACCTGCGCGGAGCACCCAATCACCGATTCGATGAACCAAGATCAGCGAAATACACGTATCAGGTGGCAAATGCACTTAACTACTGTCATTTGAACAACGTGATCCATCGAGATCTAAAGCCAGAGAACATCTTACTGACCAGCACAGACGATCTGAAGCTGGCCGACTTCGGTTGGTCGGCGCACACGCCCAACAACAAGAGGAGGACACTGTGCGGTACATTAGACTACCTTCCACCAGAGATGGTGGACGGAAACTCCTATGACGATTCGGTGGACCAATGGTGCCTGGGAATCCTGTGCTACGAATTCGTCGTCGGTTGTCCACCTTTCGAGTCGAACAGCACGGAGAGTACCTACAGCAAAATCAGGCGCATGGAGATTTTTTATCCACCGCATTTGTCCAAGGGCTGCAAAGAGCTAATTGGCGGGGTAAGATACTTTGTTTTTCTAATTATTTATTAGTTTATATAAAATTGGTTTCCCTCGTTGAAGCTTCTTCGCAAGGAGAGCAAGGGACGGATTACCCTGGTGGAAGTGATGACGCATTTTTGGGTCAAGGAGGGAATGGCCGAAAGGGAACGACAGCTTCAGCTGAAGGAGCGCGGCAAGGAGAATACAGCCAAGAATTGATCGGTTTAGAGTATGGATTTTTAACGACTTTTATACAATTTTACAATTATGTTAAATAAACGGTTTAAGAAATTTAATGAATGATTTCGCTACTTTTATTTCTAAACTATTTACTATTTTACATAAAATAAATGTTATTTTTTTGTAAACCCTCTTTAATATTTTGTGAAACGCTCATGAGCAATGGGTATTTCCACTTTGCGGGGAGTAAAATATTTTCGCGCTTCCGCCAAACGGTCACCCTAAATAAATAAATGACAATTTCAAGCGGAAAATAAACCCTAAAAAGTCAATGAATCGCTCGATTTGTAAATTGTGCACCCAACAGTGAGTGGGTAAAGTGCGATAGTCGAGGAGACCGTCCCCAGGAGCCCTTAATCCCGCCAAGGAGCGGATGAAGGGTCGCTAGACGAGCCGAGGCAGTACAGCAACAATTGTTATTTTTCGCCCGTCGATTTTCAGGGGGAGGGGGCTACGGACATCAGCCCCTTCGGTTTCTAATTGAATTAAAAAAAGAAGGGGGAGAGGCAATAATACCCAGGTCAGTCCAATAAAACCCAGGCAGCTAAGCAATGGTCTTCATCCGTGATCCCTGTGGCATCGCCTGCCTAGTAGTGACCTACGGGGCAGTTCTCTACGCGGACTATGTTGTCATACGCTGGATTATCTTGACCACAATGCCGGGCAGGTGAGTAATTTATAGAGCATGTCGATAAATGGTATCTACATCACACTTTCTACCCAACGACAGCCTCTGGATGTCTTTCCATGTGGTGCTCTTTAATACGGTCGTCTTCCTGTTGGCCATGTCCCATTCCAAGGCAGTGTTTTCCGATCCCGGCACCGTGCCCCTGCCAGCCAACCGTCTAGACTTCTCCGACCTGCACACTACTAACAAGAACAATCCTCCGCCCGGAAATGGACATAGTAGCGAGTGGACTGTGTGTACTCGGTGTGAAACCTACCGGCCACCGCGGGCCCACCATTGTCGGATTTGCAAGCGGTGCATCCGAAGGATGGATCACCATTGCCCCTGGATCAACAACTGCGTGGGAGAGCGCAATCAAAAGTACTTCCTACAATTCCTCATCTACGTGGCACTGCTTTCTCTCTACTCCATTGCCCTCATAGTCGGCTCCTGGGTGTGGCCTTGCGAGGAGTGCAGCCAGAACGTGATTGAAACCCAGTTGCGAATGTAAGTTAAAGGTGCTGTAATTATGGGAAACCTGTAGACTTATTTGGAGTCCCCTGACGTAAATGCTAAGCGGGATTTGAATTACAATGCCAAATAGGGTATTAATGCATACAAAGTTGAGTTAAAAGTATAGGTGAATGCTTGATAGGATTAGCCTTTAAAAGTTTACTACTCGGTAAAGAGTAAAATACGCATTATAAAGATTATAATACTGAAAAAAAGGTTGGAATGATGACATCATGATCCTGATCGGCGACTAGCTTTAGCTTTCATAGAGCCCATGGGGTTTTAAAAACCAAAATAAGGATAAATTAAGTTTGAAGAGTAAAATTTATATCTTAAAAATGTAAAATATTTAAACACCTGACATTTAATTTTCTTTTCAGGATTCACTCGGTTATCCTAATGCTGGTATCGGCCCTGTTTGGTCTGTTTGTTACGGCCATCATGGTGGACCAGTTGCACGCGATTCTGTATGATGAGACGGCCGTAGAGGCGATACAGCAAAAGGGCACCTACCGACCCAACCGGCGCAAGTATCAACTCCTGGCGGACGTCTTCGGACGCGGACATCCGGTGCTTTGGCTGCTGCCGTGCACCAGTCTGAACCACGCCTCCCGCTACCACGATACGCCTCTTCTGAGCCACGAGGTCTAGGGTCAGGAAATATTCTTTATATTTTGTCCTTGTGTTTACTGTGCGGCTAAGAGAGCCCAAGAATGTTTTTAGTTTTAAATTACTGTGTGATTTTTTAATCAGCCTCCCCCACCCGCAGCCAGTTAAATTGATGTGTATGTCGTATTATGTATTATATGCAGATTCCAACTTAATTTATGCTTTAGTTTATAATGTTTTGAAATTATAAATATAATGAAAGCAGCGTCGAGACATGGATATTTTATAAGGAACTTTTTGCAATTGCTTGTTTGATAATGCATACGTAGATCATTTGTACACCGATATGAATCTTCGGCCACCCGGGGTATTTTTACCAGTATCCGACTAAGCAGTACATTCTAATCTGAGACGTTTAAAAATCTCAATTGTATACAATACTACATAGATATAAACATATACCGAGCTAGAGTATAAGTCCTTGTAAAAGCATTTACGATACGCCCGAGATAGACGCATATACCAAAAACATAAACAGAGAGATCAAAACTCATTTAAAATAGTGAGCAGCAATAGTTTGTAATATTTGTAATCACGTCTTAGTTGTAGTTTATTGTTCTTTTGACATTTACGACCTTCGAGCAGCACTAACAAGAATTTGAATGTAACACCATTATCCGCAGTTTGTGACCCTTGAATAGTTTCCAATAAAGCTATCCGATATGCATAAGTAATCAATCGAGTTCGCTTCCTAGGCCCTCGACGCTAAGAGTTAGTTGTTTTAGTGCCTGCGTAGCCACTTGGCAGAGGACCCCCTCCTGGGAGCTCTTGTCCTCGAATTCCAGGATCTCCACGCACTCCTTCAGCAAATCTATGGCATCCACCAGGCGTGCACGCAATTCTCCACCGCTCAGTTTTCCAGCAATAAAGCCACTTTTGGCTAGAAGTACCAGTGGAACGTGCAGTTCGTACAGATTCATCGCTCGGGTTCGACTCAGGCCTGGTTCAAAGGTGTTCAGAACTCGTAACACCTGCCGGCAGAGCTCTGCTTTCCGCTGAAGTTGGTGATCTGGTAGCTGGACCATCTCGTAGCCCTGCACCCGCCCGTACATTTCGATGAGCAGCTGCCTTAGTCCCGTGGCGATGAAGTGCAGCGGATGAAGCAGGGATTTGTACTTGCGCAGCAATCGTTCGACCTCTTCCAACCTTTTGGCTCCCATTTCCAGTGCTTGCACAGAATTTACCTCGGAATGAAGCGTTTTCAGCATTGCCAGCGCCTCCGTGTTACTAGTGAGGGATCCACAGCTACCACAGTTCCAACTGGTGTCTGATTCTATCAAGAGATGAATGTTTATGAATGTTAATGGACGTTCCTTGAGATCTTATGTGCTTACCTGTTGGTTGCGTGGGTACTTGGTATCCCTCTGCGCACTGACCACACTTCAAACTGGAAAAGTGCGTCCCCAATTCGGTGGGATCCAAGCAGCGATCACATTTGCAGCTAAAGAACTTGCCCTGCTTCAAATGCTTCTGTCTCTGGTCAGTGCCATCCAGGGTGTACGTGTAGCTGTGATGCAGTGGCTGGCCCTCCTCCAAGTCGACCATGGCACGGAGGCGGATTCTGTGGGGCGTAAATAACAGAAACCATTTGAGAAAACTCAAATGTAATTCTAAACTTTCTATATTTAGGGCAAAGTTACATAGAATTTAAGAAAAGATCTATGTACGTTTTTTTTAACTTGTTCATTTCGCCTTCATCTAAATATCTTTCTAAACTTACTTGTATCCCTCGCTGGGATAGATGCTCCTAGATGTGTTCGGGACGCAGTTGTGGGCCAGAATTCCAGTGTAGGGAAAGAGACACCTCAAGGGATAACCCTTGGAGCTCCTTGCTTCAAAAGCATTCACTTCCAGCACACCCACTACTTGCATGATCAGCTCCTCACTGAACCGGGAGGCCAGTTTGCAGGGACCCCGCAAATACTGAGCAATGTTAACGCGATCTGCATGCCACACATCAGAGTCCTTCTTCCGCTCCTCCTCGTGATGCTCCATTGGTGCAACCTCGCTATCCCAACGCTCAGGATTGGCCTCCTTGGCCAGCAGCACCCTGGAAGGTAGAAAGGTAATATACGAATATGATCCTCAGTACCCATAAAATATATATTTAATATAAAAATAAATTAAACATTTTTGTGTTGAAAATAACGTTCTAACATTTTCCCCATTTTAAAATGAAATGTTTATCTTCTCGAAAATGAAACGCGAAATCATCACATTGACCGTCATATCATTTTCTTTTTCCCAGTGCGCTATTTACTGGGAATAGTGGACGTTTCAGTTTGTTTGGTGCCTGGGTCTATTTTTGTTCCACCCGCTGGGATTCACCTGAGCGGCATAATACAGTCCAATTGCGGACAGTGGCTACTTCCAAGCGGCAGGGGGAAGAACCGTGCCCGGGAATCCCTTAGCTCCCTGCACTCCAGTTGGAAATGAGAATTTTCCTCTTTTTGGGCACATTCGTCGCACAGTGGCCAACCACATTCGCTGCAATGTTCCTCCTCTGAATCCAGATCGGGTTCATAGCATCCCAGGCATACGACTGTCCCATTACATTTGGGTCCCACGGCAAAGGGTAGCTCCTCGATGAGTAAGTTATGCCCGAGAGTCGCTTCCTTGGCCACCAGATACCGTCCGCAGACCGGACTCCATTGAACTGACGTCCGATTCACCGACAACGTTGGCGATGTCATTTCGCTGACTGATGCCGGCTAGCAAAACTTAGATCATGGGCAAACCTCACAGATGATGCCATCTCCCCCAACACATAGCAACATTTTGGGCTGCTCGCATATAAAGCATCATATTTGCAGAGCACAGTGGTCAGAAAGGTAGATTGTATGAATAAAATTTAACTTTGAAGGAATCAGTTACAATGAATTGACTACGATTCCTTATCTTATGTATATCTTAGGATGTTGGGCTTTATTAAATCTAAAAGCTCAAGTCATTTTAGTTTTCCCCTATAATGGCCCACCCTAATATACATCTCTTTGTTTGCTGAGGCCTGCTGGTTCTATTTCTATTTACTAAGAACCTATGTATATTTTCAAATATGCGATGGATTAACTGAATGTTTACATTAAGTAAACATTAATTTAAAAGGACCTAACAAACCATAACATATATAAACATATATATATATATATATATATATATATACGCATGCTCTACTGTGCCACAAAACCTTGTTGTTGATCTGCCGCCTTCTTTGCCGTCGTCGCAATGAGTTCTCGGCATCTGCCGGCTCGCCTGCGATCCCCGAGAAATGGGCCGGCTGCTGCCAAAACTAATATTCTGACAGGCTTCCTCGGGCCCCCTGATCACTCCCCTAGATGTCGTAGTACCATTTTCCCCCCGCTGGAGCCCCGTCGAACTAACCTCAATGGTGTTATGCAATCCAACTGCGTGCAGACGCCATCATCGCTCACATTCCCAGCGAAAGTGACACGTGCGGCGGAGAAGACCTGGCACTCTCCGCGGTGATCAGTGGCGTCATCGTCGTCGGCACACGATCCGCATAGCGGCCAATCACAGAGTTCGCAGCGATCCAGCGAATCACCGTCCTCGCCGAATTGCAAAAACTGATAACATCCAAGGCAGGCGATCCCACTGTCCCGCTTTGGTCCGCGGGCAAAGGGCAACTCCTCCAGCACCAGGTCACCACGCTCCACGGACGACGCAGTGGCCAAACAGCGTCCCAGAACAGCGTCCTCCTTCAGTTGGGCCTTCAACATGCTATCGCCGCACCCGAAATGCACTGGTCCCGATTTAAGTCCATCTGATTGGGATTATTCGGTCGATTGGCTGCCCTGCACGAGTGCACACAGAAACTTCTAAAAATAAAGTGCATCACAAACACCGATAGTCGTTAATGAGGGCCTCATTATGAGGCAAGTAATAAATATTTTTATTAATTAATGTGTATGATTTGTTTAGCATTATAAGTAATATTATGGAGGTTTCCACGCTTAAAACCGAGTTAACGAGTATTTCAATTTAAAACAGTATGATTAAACTAATGTTACCTGTGCATATCAACATACAAAATATAATTTACAAAATAATATCAAAGCAGGTATTGAACAAACATACATATGTAATTAAATAATAAGAAAATCAAATATTACAAATTCATTTCAAAAAACCGTTACGTGCATCGTCCATAACAAAAAGTGTGACCCCTAGAAATTGGGATCAATTATCGGTACATGGCAGTTTCGATAGTATTATCGATACCGGTTCGTCGTGTGGTATTTTATCGTGCCTATGTTAACCACAATTGGTGAGCAATGTATATCAATCTTTAACTATTTAATTACACTATGGACTACTATCCTTTTTAAAAATTAAACTCATAACACTTACATATTATACCTATTACACTCTGACTTATTTTAACGTTTCGTCCGCGGGTTAGTGTTACCAGGTAATTTTTACAAGATTTTTTATGTGATTGAGTGCACCTCCGTCTGGTAACACTGAAGCAGAGAATTACAAGATTTAAAAATTTTGTGGTGTACGTTTGTCGTGGTTGTCTCCGTTCCTCTGCGTTTCGCATTACACTCTTAACAAACTAAAACTCATAAAAAGTAAGTACACACTGTTTAGGACTCCTTAATAAAAACAGGGAGACATAATAAAAAGTTGTAGGGAATCGGAAAATACGGATTTTCGGTGCAAGTGATTTCATAACCTCGAAACGAAAAAATTGCAAGTAGACACGCGCATGAACTAAAAGCAAAAAAGGGCTAAACACATCTAATTTTTTGATGGCGAACAGCGATTTTGTTATCAGTAAATGCCAAATAACTAATTGATAAATTAAAAGTGGAATGAGGAATTCTGCCGGTCAGCCCGCACACACGAGCGCACACCAATGCAGGCTCAGTTCATTGGCAGCAGCTGCCGGCGAACAAAAAAAAAAAAGAAAGAGAAAAACGATGGAAAAAGGCCTGGCAAATTTCTGTTACGTAACAGTCGCATCCAATGTGCTAGCGCTCTCGTTTAAATTGTTTTGATCAATTCCGTTCGTTATCGCCATGTTGTCATTCACCATTACGCCTCGCTCAATAAACGTTTCATTTGGCTCTCTTTAATGTTCTTTATCACTATTTGTTTGTGGTCATGTGAGGTGGTGCACTTTTCGATTGTGGGTGATATTTTCCGCTGTGACGTCACCTGGAAAATCAATAGCCCTTCTTGCTGTAACACCTTTTCGTGCTGTTCGTTTTTAGTTTTCCTTTCGCCCATCGATTTCCCTGGTGTTATGCAACTGGCGAAAATAGGGTGTATGCACCCTCCCACTTTATAACCTCCTCGTCAAGGTCATCGCCATCGAGATGCTGATTCATTTTCCCCGGGGAATCCATCGACCAGTAGTTTTCCTTTATCTGGTGACCAGGTTATATCACCTGATATCCGAAAAATAGAAGTTCATTCCATTTCCCGTTTTGGCTGCTGGCCATAACGACTTTTGTTTGCCGTTTTGTTCGCCGCCTTTCATAATTTTCCGCCTAGATTGCCTTGATATTTCCCAGCACGGTGCCTTTTGGTCTACACAGAAATAAAATTTTGTATAATAATAGAACTAATTTACAAATCATTTGAAATAAGTATTGTTAAATTTTAAATTATATAAAAAAATATAAATAGTAAATACCTTACAAGACATTTTAAGATACGAATTAAAATTTGTTTTGTTTCTGTGTAAACCAATGTTCCCAATATTCTCACCGCGACTGTATGTCGCATTCTTGTCGTCACGCAAATAGAAACAGCGAAAAAGAGACCAAAGCAGAGACTGCAAATGTGCAGTTAGCTTCTGTGTCAATGATCGCTTGCCTAGCGGAATGAACTGACCAGCAATTACTGCAAACAAGTACGGAACGTAAACATAGAAGCCAACAACCGTGGCCAACTTAATAGGGCAATTCTTTAAAAAATCAATCCATGTTTTAATCTTTATCTACGAAAGATCACAGCACTGAAAAAGTATTTGCATTACGATTTAAAACTGACTTGTTATATGGAAGCAATCTGAACGCTGAATAATAACATCATGTGAATAAAATCATCCGACTATTATCAATATTTTTAGTATGAAAGTATAATAACCATAGTTGCTAATAAATAGAGTAAACAAGAAATAGACAAAAGAAATCCTTCACGCCTTTGAGAGTTTGTAGGCGTTAAATTTTAGTAATACTTGTACTTACAGTAATCTGTATTCATCTTTCAAAAGTAAGTTACTTAAAAATGATAGAGTGGATTGCTCACACTTTTACACCGTATCTATTTTCCCACTTTTACTTGTCACTTTCTTTTGCCAAAGACGTGCATTGACCCCCTCTCTCAGTCACTCGTAGTTTTTTCTGCCTCAGTTGCTCATTTCTAGTCTAGCCGCCTTGAACACTAATTTAAATTGATTTATTTATTTTCGCCGCAAAAAATTGACATTTAGCCAAAGTGAAAGAAGGAAATGGTCCGAAAAATTCTTTTCCCATGTTGATGCTGTTTTCTTTAGCTCATCTTAGTTATAGTTTTCACTTTTCTTTAGGGTTCGATAGAACATACTGATTTCGAGTCAAACAAAAAGTAATTATCATCAAATTGCTGATAAGATTAAACCAGCCCCATTCCACAAAACGTATTAACTTATCATTCGAAACGCGCAATATTTGACCTGGCGAGTGAAATGATTTCGCAATAAATAGATCCGTCGTCACGAATATCGATTATTCATCCGCTTTTTGGCCCGTGTTTAAATTGTTTCTATTATATTCTAGATGGCTCCTCCATCATACAGCGATTTGGGCAAACAGGCTCGCGATATCTTCAGCAAAGGCTACAACTTCGGCCTGTGGAAGCTCGATCTGAAGACTAAGACCTCGTCGGGCATTGAGTTCAACACAGCCGGACACTCCAACCAGGAGTCTGGCAAGGTCTTCGGCTCCCTGGAGACCAAGTACAAGGTGAAGGACTATGGCCTCACCCTGACTGAGAAGTGGAACACAGACAACACCCTGTTCACTGAGGTCGCTGTCCAGGATCAGCTCCTCGAGGGTCTGAAGCTGTCCCTGGAGGGCAACTTCGCCCCCCAGTCTGGGTAAGAATTCAAATTAAATTAATCCAAGTAGGAAATATTATTTTTAAATTTATACATTCATAGTTTTTCTTTTTTTAAAATATCACTAAATTCTTTTATTATTTTCTTACCATCAACAGCAACAAGAACGGCAAGTTCAAGGTGGCTTACGGCCATGAGAACGTCAAGGCCGATTCGGATGTGAACATTGATCTGAAGGGCCCCTTGATCAATGCTTCTGCCGTGCTCGGCTACCAGGGATGGTTGGCTGGCTACCAGACCGCATTTGACACACAACAGTCTAAGCTGACCACCAACAACTTTGCCCTTGGCTACACCACCAAGGACTTTGTCTTGCACACAGCTGTGTAAGTACTAAAGATATTAATTTGAAATGAATCCAAAAGTAATGGTTTCTTTTTCCGGATTAGCAACGATGGCCAGGAGTTCAGCGGCTCCATCTTCCAACGCACTTCGGACAAGCTGGACGTTGGGTGTGCAGCTGTCGTGGGCCAGCGGCACTAGCAACACCAAGTTCGCCATCGGCGCCAAATATCAGCTGGATGACGATGCCAGCGTGCGCGCCAAGGTGAACAACGCTAGCCAGGTCGGTCTGGGCTACCAGCAGAAGCTGCGCGACGGTGTCACCCTGACCCTGTCCACGTTGGTCGATGGCAAGAACTTCAATGCCGGCGGCCACAAGATCGGTGTTGGTCTGGAGCTGGAGGCCTAAGTCGATGATTTCCCGCCAGTCGAGGAATCCTTGAACGTTGTCTAACATCCCCACACGCCCAACAACAAGAATAACAACATCCAGACAGTGCAGTAACAACAAGAACAACAAAAAAAAAAAATAAAAGAAAAGATATTCTCAAAAATAACAACACACAGTCAAATATAAAGAGCATCTGCACATCTTAGCGATTAGATCGGATCAGTTGTCACCCGGCCATTACCACATCCGCCCACTCCCTGCCCAAGCCACCCGAATCTGCAGAAGAGACACTGCCAACAAACGATGCAAGGGGTGGGTGGATCAATCGCTTGGCTGGTCAGTCCGTCGTCGTTGGATGTAGCTTTGATTAGTGCATTAAAGATTAGCAAATTTGTTGTTGGCAAAGTACAGTAAAAATACATTTACCTATTAAAAAAAAATTAAAAATAATATGGCTCAAAAGGCATTTGCATTTTGTCAAGGATTTAGAGGTTGTCCCATTACAACTTTTGGCGAAAATAGGCACACAATCCCAACCCATATACTCATTAACAATCTTAATCTTTTCGTTGTGCATTTACTTAAGAAATAAATCGAGAAGAAACCAATGTTATGATTGAGGGAGTAACTAAGACTATTCAAATAGTTAAACTGTGACGGGAATTGTAGAATCAAAATCAAATATGTTTTTCCTTATATCTTGCTTTTAGGCCTAGCACAGGACACCATGGATTTCGGTTCAAAGGTCTGTAGTCTGTATAAAACTCTATACTGATCCGGCAGCATTAGATACAAATTTTCGGCTAATCAAGTCTGCTAAGCGTAGAGAAAAAATTTCGAAATCACTCGGGCCTTATAAACCATACCACCTCTTTATTACTCCTATAATGGCTCCAGCGCCAGTGTATCCCGACCTGGGCAAACTCGCCCGCGATCTCTTCAAGAAGGGCTACCACCCAGGAATTTGGCAAATCGACTGCAAGACTCTTACCAGTTCGGGCATTGAGTTCTTTACCACAGGCTTTGCTAGCCAGGATAATAGCAAGGTGACCGGCTCTCTGCAGAGCAAATACAAAATCGAGGACTATGGCCTGACTTTGACAGAGAAATGGAATACGGAGAACTGGCTCTTTGGCGAGATAATGCAGAAGGACAAGTTGGCCGAAGGCCTGATGCTAGCCGTCGAAGCAAAATTTCAGCCGGGATCAAAGTACGTAAGAGGAATCTTTAAACTGTTCATAATTTATTATTATGGGTTAAATATTTAATCTTTAATTCAAAACTCCAACAGCGAGGCGGATGGAAAGTTTAAATTGGGCTATGCCCAGGAAAATTTTAACTTCCTGGCCGACATTGGACTAAATTCAGAACCGATATTGAACTGCTCGCTGGTTTTGGCCCACAACGAGTTCCTTGGCGGCGTCGGCACAGAGTTTGATATTGGCAACACAGAATTGAAATCCTGGAAAGTTGCCCTTGGGTATACAAACGAGACAGCCACTCTCCATGGCGAGTTGTAAGTGTCAAAGATCTTTTGAAATATCAAAGGACTTTCTTTTAATTTTTAGTCACTTTGCAGGAAGAACGGAGATTCTTGGTTAGCATCACTTTTCTACAAGGCTAACGAGAAGATTGATGCCGGCATTGAGGTCGTCAAAGCTTCTGGTGGTGGAGGAGGAGGCGAGAACCCCGATGAACAAGAACAAGGTGGTAACAATGTTATTGTCAGCTTGGGCATGATCTATCATCTGGAGGAAGATGCCCTCATACGCGCCAAGATTAACAATGTGATTGAGCTCGGTCTAGGATATGAGCAAAAGTTGCGAGAGGGCATCACTGCCTCCATTTCCGCAGTCCTGGACTGCAACAACATCAAGGACGGTAACCACCGATTCGGCGTCGGCGTGGCCCTACAGTGCTAATACAACTCTTATAGCAGCCATTCAACGATTTCCATATTCAAAATTGGTTTAACTTTATTCAAATGACAAATATATTTAGTTAAATTAAATTTTTATTATAAAAAAATTAGAGTGGTTGAGATTATAATTATAAAATAGTTGTATATCCAAATATCAAGAAATGACGCATACTTTTCCAAATCAGAACAGCTTAGAGCTTCGTATCAGAATTAAATCATTATTTGGGAAAAAAATTCAAAATTGATTGTTTAAATTCCAAAATGTCTTTGAGGCAAAGGATCCGTAGCTTGTTCAGAAGTAACAAAAGGAAACGTCAAGATAGCGTGGACAACAGTGGTGATGATGGTGGAAATGCACAAGAAAAGGGCAATGAACAGGAGGAGGCTAAGAAGGAAAGCAATGTGGAAATCTTGCCAGAGCCGTTGAAGGAGTCCGAGTTACCCACTTTCTTTCATGTGGGACTTTTGGCGAAGATGTGCCTTGTTCACGGCTACACAAATGGGCCGTGGAAACTACAGTGCACCTCTAAAACGGAGGATAACTTCTTTATGAGCACCTTCGGCGAGGGATATCCTACATGGAATTCTGTCTACGGAGGACTTGAGATCTACAAAGAGCAGGGAAACTTTCACGGTTCTTTGGCTTGGTTGACCGACGGATTCTTCCTGTCGGATGTTGGAGCCAATGGTAAAAATCTAGGAGGGATGTGGTCTTCCGTCCTTAAGTCTATGATCACCACTAGTGATGGGTGAGTCGGATTTTTGATTTATAAGGTTGACCTTTCGCAATATTTTGGAAATGATAATAACAATATAATGAATAATAATAATAATAATAATAATAATATTCATGCTTTTATGCAGTTTTAAATACCAATGCAAAGTGAAGTGTGGTTTCGAACGCAGCCCCGTGAAAATGGAGTTCTATATTCCCATTTACAAGGAACCCCTATTTATGGGCTACATTCTAGTTGAACCTGCCAAAAGTTATGTTTTGGGTTACCGCACAGTGTTCAATGTGGAGGATAAGAAGTTTGACATGCACTCCCTTTGCGTGGGCTGTATCAAAGACTCGATAGAAGTGGGAATGAAACTGTAAACTACCTTTTTATTTTTTAAACTGATCTATGTAACATATCGATATTTTAGAGAGAATTTCGAGACTGTTCGAGGATCGATATTTCAGCGCATTGGATCGAAGTGGGCCTTGGCTTTGAAGGCAAACCTTTATGGAAACGTAAATGCGAAGCTTATCACCATTGGCGGTCAGTACGAGTGGGAACCCGGAACATTGCTGAAGGCAAAACTGCGGGGAGATACTCGACTTGGATTTATTTTTCAACGCAAGCTACGTGAAGATATTGAATTTCTGTTTCACTTTGGCTTTCAAGGAAAAGATCCTATTAATGGAAAGCATAAGGTCGGCATGTCTTGGTATTTTAATGTTTAGACACTAGGTTACTGATCGAGTTTCGCTTTTACTTTTTTGATCCTTTGTAAACAATATTGTAAATCTACAACATTCTGGTTATACAAAGAGTAAATAAAATTTAACAGAATCGTTTTTACCTCGAATAAAGTGTCTAGTTTCATTCCGACAAAATTAAAACAGTGTACAGTATTTTATTAAAAAAAATTTACAATGGAAAATATGAGGCAACGGATGCGCCATTTGTTTCGCCGAAACAAAAGGCGCTTCCGTCCAACCACGGCACCAACAACTGAACAAAAAGAAGAGCACGCTGCAGATGAAAAGCCAGAAGCTAATGATGCATCTGCTAAGGAGGTGGTAGAAATAGAAATAATACCTTTACCTCTGGCAGAAGATGAAATGCCCACCTACTTCCATGTGGGCGCCTTGGCAAAGGAGTGCCTCAGCAACGGATTCAAGATCGGCGCCTGGCAGCTGCAATGCACCACAAGGACGAACACAGATTTCAATATAAGCACCTTTGGAGAGGGCTATCCTACTATGGAGTCAATCTTTGGGGGCCTGGAGGTGTTCAAGGATTTTGGCAACTATAGTATGTCTCTTAGTTGGCTTACTAACAATGATTTTCTATCAGAAATTGAAGGGCGTGGGATAAGTTTTGGTAGTAAGCTTTATGCCCAACTGAAGTCTGTAATTGGCACGAAAGACGAGTTAGTTATTAAGCCTTATTAATTATATTACACTACTAAATAGATTTTACTGTCTTTATAGAGTGACATTTAAAACCAAGATAAAATGTGGTTTTGAACGTAAACCAGTAAAAATGGAACTAGTGGTGCCGCTCTACAAGGAACCACTTTTCTTGGGCTATGTCGTTGTTACTCCAATGGAAAATTGGATACTGGGATATCGGACTATTTACGACTTTGATGCCAAGGGATTCGATAAGCATGCTTTCTGCTTGGGCTATTATAATGATAGGACTGAAGTGGGCTTGAAACTGTAGGCTCTACTTTCATAAGGTTGTTAGTAAACTATTAATATTTTACCTGCAGAGAGAATTTTGAGGACCTCAGAGGATCGATCTTCCAAAGAATTGGCGATGCCTGGGGCTTTGCTTTGAAATCAAATCTCTATAGTTCCGCAAATGTAAAACAGTTCGCGGTTGGTGTTCAGTACGACTTTAACAATGGAACGTTGGTGAAGGTCAAGTTCCGGGAGGACACGAGAACTGGGTTCGTCTTTCAATCGAAAATAGGCGAAAATGTCGATGTCATGTATCATTTGGCCTTTGATGCAAATTCTCCTGTTAAAGGGAACAAAAGGATTGGAGTTTCCTGGTACTTTCACTCTTAAAATAAAACAGTAGTAGTGTTTACTTTTGTACGACAATGTTATTGTTTGCAATTTCATTCATTTGGTGATGGGGTTGATATTTGCCTGGTTGATTCTTACAAACATGCTTCTAATGTTACAGATTTTTAAAATATTTCTTTGATTTCAAAATTTAACGGTTAGCTCTGTAAGAAATACCCCTAATATCGAATGAAATATGGTCGTTTGTAAATATGATTTTGGCCGCAGCAGGCGACGGTCATACTGAAATCTCTGACAGCTCTATTCATCGATTATTCGTCTTTTTTCTTTATACGTAAAAATAGTTCATCTGTTCAGGCGTGTTTTTCTATCGTGAAGAAATTAGGCAATAAAGGCATAATCCAAGTGTTTTCGTGCAAATGAAAATAGATATTTGCATTGCCCATCCGTTTTATTTTGTTATTGCAGCGAAAACGGCGTTTTAAAGGGGCAAAATTGAAGTCGAAAGTGCAAGTTCTCGGAGACTAAAGTAGGTAAGAAATAAAAATGGCGTCACATGCCAGCACACACATGCCCATGAGTACACACACTAATGAACACATTTTTCACATTTTCTTACCCTTTGTTTCGAAATCAGGGGCTGAAATAGCAAAAACCCAAAGGTAAGTTCAGGTAAAAAAAACCAAGGCCATATTAGCGAAAAGCAAGAGTGGGAGTACCATGTCGGAGGCCATGAGTGCCCCTCCGCCCTTAATTCCGCAGCTGCAGGAGATGCAGCAGCAGCAACAACAGCAGCAGCAGGGCGGTAATCCTGCCCAGCTTGCCCAGCAGTGGAACAACTACGCCTGGTATGCAAATCAAAATGCCGCCTACCAGCAGCAGTATCAGCAGTACTATCAATACTACATGCGTTATCAGCAACAACAACAACAGCAGGTAACTTCGACGGTTAGTGCGTCGAATGCGCCACCGGGCTTCAGCAATGCGCTGGCTGCACCACCGCCCCTCCCCTCGGGTCCGCCACCACCGCCGCCTCCCAAAGGCGGCCCGCTAACGGGTCAAAACAAGCAGCAACAACAGCAGCAGCAAAAGAATTTCGGGGGAATACGTTTTAATTTAAATTTAAACCAAAAGCGTTTGGCCGGTGCCCCCAATCCACTGCAACAACAACAACAGCAGCAACAACAACAACAAACACTTCAACAGCAGCAGCTTCAACAACAACAACAGGTCATGCAAATGTACAATAACAATAACAGCAGCAGCAACAAGAAGAAACGCAAGCGTAACAATAAAAACAAAAACTTCGAGCAAACAGCATATAGCAATCCGTTTACAAATCAAGCTCAAACAACGCCTGTAGCACCACCACCGCCCATTATTACCGCCAGCGATGTGGGCGTGCCAATAACTCCAGATTTGAGTAAGCCACCACCACCATTACCACTATCCTTGGTGGCTCCCACAGAAAATCCGCAGCATCAACACCAGCAACAGCAGCAGCAGACAGCTTCTACCGCTGCACCTCAAACATCTAACTTTAAGCGGCCCAACAGTTTTCAAATGGCCTCCAATGACTCCTGGCCGGATGCCCTTAATCAATATGTGGCCCGTTGCTACTCAAAGTGCAACACGGATCTCGACAAGGATCAGATTGACATATGCCTAAAGGGCAAGATTATAGCGGCAGCCAATCGAAATGAGTTGTGGACGCGGGACTGGGATAACGAGCCCATGCCCACAGTGCACAGTGAGCGGGATGGCATTGATGTTGTGTTAAACAACGCGACGCCTCCGCAACCGCAGCGAAGCAACTACTTCCAAAAAAAGCAAGAGCAAGAGAGGGAACAAGAGAAGGACCGCGAGGCCGAGAAGGTGCCAGCCAAAGGCTCTTCTGGTATAGGGAATCAGTTCAAGCAAAAGATCAATCAGTTCAGCAAATCCTCGTCTGGATATGGTTCCCATCGGCACTCCTCGTCGTCGAGGTACTCTAGGAGTCGTTCGCGGTGAGTTTTAGTGTTTTTTTTATTGCCGTACTTCAAATATAAACCAGTTCATTTAACCTTTTCAGTTCGCCGTCATCTACAAACTCGTTAAAGTACTCGAGCAAGAAACGGTATTCGCGCTCGCGCTCCCATTCGCGTTCACGCTCGCGATCCCCCCGTTCCCGATCGTGCTCTCGCAGTAGCGATGCCAGCAGTCCCCCGGCGCGTAAGGTTATCCGCAAATCGGGCTCTATCGAATCCCTGAATTTCATACCACTCTCCGCGAACTTATCTCGCAAGCAACAGAAAATGCTGATGAAGAAGGGCAAGCGCGCAGCAGCGGCTGCGGCAGCCGCCGCGGGGTCCGGAGGCCAGGCGAAAAAGAAGCCTCACTTCTACTCCCAGTCGTCCGTTGGCGGAGCCGTTGATGATGACACAGCGCGCTTGCAACAGCGTGCGGCAAGATTCTCACAGCAGAGCTCCAGCTCGGCAAAGAAATCTGTCGTCGCCATTGCAAGCTCACCGTTTGGTCTCACCACGGCCAAGAACAAGAAGAAAATGATGCAACAACAACAGCACCACTCACGTTCCGCCTTCTTCGAGGACACAGAGGCGGCTGGCGGCTTAGATCTTCTAGATTTGCATATTGTAGGCACATGTAGGGACTTAGAAAAATCGTTTTTGCGTCTTACCAAGGCGCCGTCCCCGTCGGAGGTACGGCCTGTCGAGGTGCTCACCCACTCCCTGGTTAATGTAAAGGGAAAATGGCGTTCCAATCAGGATTACCATTACGCGTGTGATCAGCTTAAGTCCATCAGGCAGGATCTGACTGTAAGTAGCACTTTTTATAGGTTATAAATGATGGTGACACATTTCCTCTTTAGGTCCAAGGTATACGAGATCAGTTTACGGTTGAGGTGTATGAGACGCATGCTCGCATTGCTATGGAGAAGGGTGACCACGAGGAATTCAACCAATGCCAGACACAACTAAAAATGCTGTATATGGAAATCGGCGGAAAGAGCGCCAACGCCTTGGAGTTCACGGCCTACCGCATACTCTACTACATATTCACAAAGAATACCTTGGGTAGGTTTAATATATCTTAAGTAGTTATATGTCAAAGTAACACTTATTTTGACTTGCAGACATAACCACTGTCCTGCGTTCGATTACGGCTGATCAACGCGAGAATCCTGTCATTGCACACGCCCTTCAGTTCCGATCTGCGTGGTCGCTGGGGAACTACTGCAAACTATTTTCCCTCTACAAAACGGCGCCTCTTATGTCCGGCCACATGATTGAGTGGTTCCTGGAGAGAGAGCGCAAGGCTGCATTGCGAGTTATTATTAAATCGTAAGTCCGATACATTCATTTTTTCGAAATCTTTATATAACCACAATTTTTTTCAGTTATCGTCCCAATATTAGCGTTGACTACATAACCAATATCTTGGCCTTCGAAAGCTCTGAAAAATGCAAAGAATGGCTAGACACCTTTAGTTTACCCTATGTCGCCGATGGCTCCCAAGTCGATTGTAAAAACGCTGCTGCCATCGCTATTTAAGGCGACTTTCACAAATAGCAGATTTGCTGCTAGGAAACACTTTGATTTTGTACCTGATTTCCGAACTTTTCGGATATTGGTGTCCTTTGTCGGACTTAGAATTCAACTCCCTTGTCCGTATTTATAATAGTTTGTATATATTATAATAGGTCGCGATTCCTCTTTCGTTTTATAGTTAGGGCTTTCTTTATTCCCTTTCCCCTATCGATTTTCTTTGAAATAGTGAAATTGTGAATTCTACGTCTTCTTAGGACCACGAAAGTATTCATCGTTGGGAATATTATTTTTAAAAGGAAAGGAGTTCTTTGAAAAATGGATGAAAACATCACAAGAAACATCAACTTTACAACAACTTAAAACAAATTCTTCTGCTTAAATGAACACTGGCATTTTTGGATGAGTCAACAACGATTTAAAAATACATCGACTATGTCAACTATTATGCCCCACCAGGATTTCAATATGTGCTAGTACAGGAGTAGCTGGATTCTTCGATGTATCAATCGCTCGAATGGCGTATCCCTCGGAACATGGGCAATTCACGGTCATCGGATACGTCATGGGTTCATCTATGGATTATATATTCCAGGATCAACAAAAGTGGAAAACATCTAGTGCGCTTAGTGGATATTCAGGAATTTAAAGTTTTACCAAAATCAATCCGTCATTGGTCCAGATTGCAGAAATTACGAAACATTCTTACCTTGAAAACGTTGGTTTTCTTGGTTAGAAAAACCAACTTTATCGAATTCTGCAAGAATTATCCTCGAACGAGTTCAACAAATACTTAACCCGAATCCTTATATGCGTGACCTATCCATGGACTTATATAACTAAAGACTTTGATTCTAAATTAGGTCACGATCCCTTTAAATAACAACTCCACTAAACCTGAACACATACAAAACTAACATGAAATAATACACATGAAGACAAACAAAAACAGATGCGATCAACGAACTCCGAGAGGCGTAAAGCATTGGGCTGAGAATTGATTTTTGTTTCGTTGTGATTATTTTACTCATTTTAACGCCCTTTGATCACTTCATTTTTAAACTAGTTTTAAGATTTAAGCTTAATGATTGTTGTCTTATTTAAATGATTCAAAAGGATAATACTAATGATCTGTCTCTCTATTGTATACCTGTATATATACAACCATCAAATCCACCACCACCAAGAACTACAACAAGAACGAACCAGCCTGCATGAAAATTCTATGGAAGTTCAATGTCATCGTTTCGGATTATGGCAGTCAACCTGGTCTTCCTCGTCGCCACTCGTCATCCGTGCGAACGCAAACAAAAAGTCATCAAATATTCGCGACATTTGTAAGCTCTTCCAATTTTAATTCGTCTTACTAAGCAAACTGTATAAAGTCTCTGGGTAGTACATAAGCAATTGGATACAAAACCTTTATTCAGTGGTTTTTTTTAGAGAGAGAGAGTTTGACGAAAAACATAACTCTTCTATATATTATACAGTAACTATAGGCTAGGATTATAGGTATCTTAGGTTAAGGTTAACTGTTAAATTTATTTTTAATTTTCTTGAATGTTTGAAAATGATGGAAAAGAATTCAAGATTTCAAATACATCTCCTAATATTCATGCAATTTACGGGAGCCCGTAGCCATGAAAAGGGAGAGTTATTATCCCGCTTTTCAAAAAATAAACAAAATAAAAATCAAGCAACTGGTGTTTTTTCCTTGGTGAAGTTTCCCTTTCAACAGAAGGTCATCGCCAAAACAATCCTCGTTCAGTTGTACCCTAAACTCGGAAGCTTTAGCCAGGACACCAGCCATTTAGAGCTTGTTGGAGTGTGGGAGCCGAGCTTTTCAACAACGCGCAAAGGATGCTGTCGGAGATTCAGCCGCTATTTAAGGATGCTGCGTTGCGGCCTTAGCTTCAGTCAACGCGCGGCGTTCGAGTTCTTTGGATCGCGCTTAAAACTCAAATTCAAAGGACCAAACGGAGATAATCAAAAGAAGCTAGAAAATCAAAAAGGTTCTAAAACCCTTTTGTGTGTGAAGTGACCCATCGAAAAGTAGTTGAAATAATTGTTTGTTAACTTTATTAGGGCGTGTGAAAAGCATAAGTTGATAGTTAGCATTCGTACATTATATTTATTAAAGAATTTCTTCTTTCAAAGATAAGCCATTTAAATAAACGGTTTATGTTTATATTATAATAGAGGTATGCCTTAAAGTAATTAAAATGGTGCCTTTTATCTAGTTTTTAAGCCTTTCACATAGTTTTATTTTACTGTTTTCTTGATTTTTAACATCTCGTTTATCGTTAATATTTTTCTAAATAAATTGAATTGTTATTTTTTTTAATTAAAATAGTTCTGGCAGTTTTAAAATCTACAACAGAGAAAACAATAATGCAGAACATGTAGTATTTAAAAAAAATGTCATTACTTATTAGAATGAAACTTATCTAGTCAGGAATTTGAATTATTAAATAAATTGATTAATTCTCATAAATGTGCCACAATGAATCCTGTTGATAAGAGAAGGCATAACTTTAAGATGAAAACAATGTCAACCATTGAATTGATTGACTAATTGCTGTACCACAATAATCAGTCAAGCCCAAGGAGCAGGCGAGGCATTTGATTAATGTCTCGTAGATTTTCAAACGAAGTAAACTTGCAATTAAATAATCCAGTTGAGCGTGAGAAAGAGCGGCAAGCAAGCGAGTGCGTTTACCCAAAATTGAAAATAATTAACGGAAATTAATCTTTAATAAATACCCCAAAGGCCGAACGACTTTAGAATGAACTCAGAAACTCGATACCCCATTATGTAATTAAGGTTGTCAAAGATAGGCAAATTAACTCTTTAGGATGTAATCATCAAAATACGTTCATAACAAAATTTCCAACATAAATTGAAAAACAATTAGCAGTAAAAAATAACATCAAATTAAGTGCCAAGGAAACTTTTTAGGAAGGCAGAAGGCCAACTTCCTGCTGCGACGCTGTCCCAGCTGCCGATGTCAAAAGGCTGACAAGTCCCGTCTTTTCTGTCCCATCCACGCTTCGCCAGTTTCCTCCATTTCGTTATTAGGAAAATTATAATATTGCTGATGTTTGTCGGGCCATTGTATGAACCTTGCCTAGTTGCATAGGTTCTGCCATTGAAAGTCAACGAGATGAATACTAGAAATAATGCAGATAACTTACTAAAATTATATGAGTTAATGCTGACCTTTATTTGTAAAGTAAAGTGCCTTGTGTGTTACAGAAATTGTATCCCATTTTTTGTACCTTTCAGTTTTTCATTTTGAAAGATCTCTCCTTTGAGGATTTTATTTATTATTCATCGACTTTTCAGCCTCACATGTCTAAGACATACCTAAGTAAATTTACAAACAAACCAGCCTTTCAATTGAACTTCCATTCCTCACACCTCTGCACCATTAAAATATACATATTTTGCAGTGTTCGGCATGTTTTCAAATAACAATAAATAAATATCCAATATTGACTATCAAAATGCGAACCGCAGCTGAGGCTGACATTACAAAGAACGACAGGAGTATAAATTTTGCAACATTATGTGTGAATATTTAATACACTTGCACACTTGCTTAAGGACGTGGGCAATCCTTTTCAAAGGCATAAAATCCTCCACATGACTATCCCTTTCATATGTAAATCCAGAGTCGGTTAGTCAGCATTTCAGGGGGAATAAAACTTGTTTACCTTTTTTTTTTTCTCGGGCAAACCCTCTGATGGCCAAAGGATTTTCTTCACTTTACGGGAATCTTCAAAAATGATGTGTTATTTACAGGAGGGGCCTTTCATTCATTTCATAAATGTAACACGGTATCAGATGCTCAGCTGACTTTGGGATATTTTACAATTTGCATTAGCATAAAATAAATTTTGACCAATGAGCTGAAGTTTTTTGAAGGAACGGATCAATTTATGGAGCTCAACTGGAAAGGATAAGCCTCTAGAAATAGAATCCAGAAATTTGTGTTGACACGAAAAGTTAAGAACTGGTGAGCACAGGCCTTAACAATAAATTTATTCATAAATACGACGAAATATTGGTAGTCAATTCTTTTACAAAAAGCAAAGAATACATTTTTTCGGATGCTTAAAATACAAAATTTAATCTAAGTGAAATTTAAACTAAAGTTGTGTTTGCATTACAAGAACCAATATGATTTTTTGCCTAATTAACCTCGGCGATAATCACCATTTTAAATTCTGCACCATATTTGGAATTGCTCTATTGTTATACAAATTACTTTTGCTTCGCCCAAGTTTACTGGCAGTTTAGCAGAAATAGTCTAATTATTGCCCTCACGTTGCCATTATTGTCCTGAGACCTTTAAGTGCCTCCAACTATCCCACCAAATCCTACTCTCATTCTGGTCATGATTCGCACTTGACCACAAGTCTAGGCCTTGGCTGAAACCGCCTTAGCACCTGTGTGGGTGGGAAACCACATTCGCATTGTTCTGTCTGTGTTGTGTCGCCCATTTAAATGGTTTTTCTTAACAGATTTGCTGGTTTTCAGTTTTCAGTTTCCTCTTTTTGTGTTTTTTACTGTTTTGCATTGTGCTTGGCAGCACATTTTTTTCGTTTTTTTCCCCCAGTACTTGCCTTTGTCCCCCAATTGTGCGATTTCCCTTGGATTTCATTTCTTCACGCGGCTGTGTTGTCATTTGAGATAATACGGAAAGCATTCGGCGCCCGTCGTTGTTACGGGTTTGCTTTTGATTTTGTTCAAGGGTTTATTTTAAAGCAATTGATTGGATTTAAAACAGGGCGGAGGAGTTGAAGTGTTGAGAGCGTAGGAAAGCCGAGATTTTCCAGGGGAAAACGATTGAGTTGCGCCTCTCCAAGGGATCTTTTGCATAAAGCCTTCGGGTACTTCCATGTCGTGAACTTTTATTATTTTTTCCTTTTTTCGCTCCATAAATAAGTCAAATGTTTAAAGTAACATATGAGATAGAAACTAGAAAAGGAATTTAGGTTTTTACAAATTCTTAATTCTTCTTCTGAAAGGATGCCGAAAATATAAAAGAAATCAAAGGTCATGACTGCTTAGTAGCCAAATATCCAAATTAAAAGATACAAAATAAAAATCTTTTCCTCTTCCATTTTCTGTAATTTCCCAAATGAGACTTTACCATTCAATCAGTTGTTATAAGCTTTCCCTTTCTCAGGCTTATTGTTTTGTTGCCTTTTAAATTCCACTCAGCTCATTAGATTTCAAATCAACAGGGAAAATGATGAACAACAAATCGCCGCAACTATAACTCGAGGCAGTGTCTCGAATACTCCAGAGCATTTCCAGCAGTTTTATTTTCCTCCGGGCTGATTAAGCAGGGAACGAGGAAAAGCGAGCGGAAATGAAAAGCAGACTCCAAGCTTTCCTGGCAATGGTGAACATTTGTAGCAATTAAAAGCATCTTTATGGCAATTTGCCGCTGCAAACCACAAAACCAGACGCCTCCAGTCGCAACGCTTCATAATAAATTTTCTTAATCAAAAAGTGAGGAAGTCCTTGCCGCTCTATGAAAATTCAATTAGTTTACCTTTAATTTCGGTGGTTAAAGCCGGGAGCAGGGCTATTTGTACACTCCCCTTAAACGAGGCGAGATGAGGAGAGTCAACTGATTAGAGTTGGAAAAGTTGCAGGCAACATCTGCTTAGCCCTTGGCTTTGCCTTCAAAAAGGGTTTAATCATTCATTCTGCAGCCAATTTTCACGCTGTTTTTCCGTTTTTCCTCACCAGATGCTGCTTCCTTTTTCTTTCCTTAGAAAACCATTTCCATTCGCGGCTCGCTCATTTGTTAGGCAGCAGTTGTTTGGCCTCTAACCGCCCGAAAAAATGTGCAAATTTCTAAGATGACGCATCACTTAAGTTAGACTTTTAAGGCAACATTGAAATACCATAAAAATTATTAATTTAATCTACTTTAAATTCTACTTCATAAGAATTCAGTTGAATTTACATTTTAACTTAAATAATTTAACATTAAACGCAGTCAGAGCCCTGTGGGAATTACCTTTTTGAGCTTGGGCTATAGCCAGGTGCTTTTGTTTTTAAATGCTTGTTTATTTACAAACAAATGGGCTCCCATCCAAAATCCGAAACTGACGAGCCAGTGCCATCTATTGAGCTCCGATTCCGGCTGCATTTGACATGGGAGCATGCCCGTAACTGACCTGGTGGATGCCATTCCATTCGAGTTCAATGGGCACCCACGCACATTAAAATTCGGAATCAAATGCCGAATCATTCGCTTTGATGGCATCCCCACACTCAGTCACACGGAATGTCCAATGAATGACTATCGTTTTCTAATTACTCGCTCATTGTTTGTTTGCTCTTGTTTTTTGCTGTTTGTTTAATGGCGGCTTTGGAAAATTGCTTAGGCAAATCAAAATAATGACCGCAAATTTCGGTTTATTTTGTTTCATTTGGTGTTATTTCTTTGTGGGTGTGTGTACATACGTGCTTTTATGCCTTTTTGCCTTGGCTAATCAATCAATCAATTAGCCGCCCGGTTGGCTTTGAGTGCATAAGTCTATTTTTGTAGCTAAAAGCTAGTCTTTGTCGTTCTATTGTTTTGCTTTCTGTTGCTCTCAGGCATTTTGAGTGGAACTGAAGTAGCAGCAAAGCTGCAGAATAAACCGATGTCTGATGACATTCAATGGCAA